TCTGATGCTTTGCTTCAAGGAGCAGGAAAGTTAGAGGAAGTGAAGGTAACTGCAACAGAAAGAGCATCTCATTTGTGTGTTGTTTTGGACTGGAGAAGGTTGTCATTACTTTTCCAAGTAGAAGAGGTCACACCTTCTTCATTGAAATCACTTGTGGATAAAACTTTGAAATGTGGAACAAAATATCAGCTTGACTGTGGGCAGAAGAATGTTGATTTTAAGTATCTGACAAATTTCTTCGAATCTGTTTTTAACAAGCTCATGGTGAAGTTTGGACAACTGATCATTGGTTGTTTAGACTCAATCTTGTTTGTAGCTGAACTAGGATTTCACTATGGCAGGAGTTGCAGCAAAGCTGGAATGTCAATGCAAGCCTTAGATGTTTTTGACAAACTCTTGGAAATCTCAAGAAATGTCATCCATACCAAGAATGGACACTCAAAGCTTCATACACCACATCAAATTTGTTGTTGCATTTGTTTCATTGGCAAGGCTACAATTTTGTTAAACTGCTCCTCAAATCCAACATCAGAAACTCTTGATTCTCTTGAAACAGTACTGTCAGAGGGAAGCAGACTACTTTCACAACTATTAAAATGCAAAGGTTTGTCATCATCAATGTTGAAAGTTGTTTCAGATTCCTTAGAGTATTTCAGAGTTACTTTACAAAATTATTCCACCAAAGAAACAAAAAAAGCAACACCCCTCTCATGGAGAATTTGTCAAGAGGCAATGCAGCTACTCAAGTTATATGGGACAATTCTGTCGCGTCATTGTGAACTCATCAAGAATGCTCTGCACAAAGCCAGCGGTGACAACTTGATTTTACAGTATACCCAACAGTTACAAAAGACCACAGCAAGACAACTGACCCTCTTGAACTTTGTAATTTCTTCTTATCAAGATCAGCTGAAAAGTGAAGAGAAGGCAAAAGTTTGTGACAGGAGTTCAAGGTTAGGAAATCCAAATTTGTATCTATTAATTCATATAAAAACACCAGTGATGATGTATGCTTTGGTTCAGTTTTATCCTAGGTTCAAACTTTACCTTGTCTTAAGTGTATTAGCATACATCACCATATCCAAAACAAAATAAAATTAAATTTGAACCAGTGTTAAGATTGAATTGCAACAAATATGTTATCATTTTGATAATAAATTTGAGTGTAGTGAAGTGGATGATCTCCATTATCAGGTAGAACTCCTTATCCTGTGAAAGAAAAGTATTCTACTGTACAGTTCGTTACTACAGTATGCAAGAGGTTAAGGGCAAAATACATGTTCAGTGCATGTTAATTGTTGCACAAAGTGCGGTTTTTGATACACAGTTTTCTTTTATTCACAGAATTTATATCCTAAGAGAATGTTTTACAGTTGCACAACAGGCAAACAAGGTTATTCAAAATGCTCTTGAAGATCCTGACATTCCTATGTCTCCAAATGAGCTGCGATGGCTAGGTAGCAGTGTCTACAATGTAGGCTGTGTGTCCTATAAAAGTGACTGTTTTGCTGAGGGAGTGCCATTGCTGGCTCTTGCTTGTGATGAGTTAAAAATCTGGAGTTTTGGGGCTGAAACAGAGGAGAAAACCATTCTCCAAGCTGAAGAGGTACAGTCTGTTAAATTTGTTTAGTGTAATGAAGTAATATTTCTGTTGAAGTATAGTTTTATCCTCTAGATGAAGGTTTTCCTTGCATAAAATGTTACATTCAAGTACTGTTTCAACAACTGACTTTTGGGAGGCTGGTATTCTAAGTTAGAACAGGATCATTTAATACAATCAACAACTACCAGCACCTTACAAATGTTTTAATTACCATTAGATAATTAAGTACATGTAGAAGCAGTGAACAACATTGTTGGACCTACAAAACAGACCAATCAGAATGTTTTGACACTGCATTGCGCTTACAGGAAGAAATATGGTGTCACAAGGAAGTTATTATTTATTCGGATTGACAAGGGTCCTTTTTGTGACCATCCCTAACTATCCAATGAAATGATATG